ATCATTTGCCAATTGGATTATGGAGAAGCGAATGTATAAGAAGAAAGCAGAGGTCATGACCTATTGACCATTATTATAATGTGTAGTCGATCAATAGAGATGGAGGCACTGTTATAGGCGAGAGCATGAAGGGTCGGAGGTCATTGATCTGGGGCATTCCTGTCGAAAGGTCATATTGACCTGACAACGTCCATAAAAACACCAAACTTTACACGCACAACAGTATCGATTCCAGGCTTTCTCCAATACGGTCCTGCAGTGTATTGACTTCAGATGAAATCGAGACCTGGGGTCCGTTGCATAATCTTTGACACTATGTGAAGACTGTGTCTTAAAGTCCCCCTATAGTCAATCATTTTATTCCTTAAAACTCACCCTTGATCACCAAAATTACATATTTCAATGTTTTTTTCTTGAAAAAAAAAACTCTTCATGGCTTAAAGCTGCCGTCGGCAAGTCTGGCAGATTGAGTGGACTTAGGCAAAATTTTGAATGTTTACAACTCTCATGCCCCTCCCCCACTATCAACGGATACCCTCCCACCGAGTTCATGCTCGTCAGTGCGTGTGCACCAGGTTATCTGTGAACGCGCCCGTCTCATCAGCATCCATCAACACCATGGAGTATTCGGAGGTATGCTGCCCTGGCTAATCTACCGATAGATTGCAATTGCTAACGTCATTTATACTCTAAATGAGCTTACTTGATTTTTTAGTGTTTTGAAAGCGAGATACATCCGCCATCACTCTTCGTTACTGCGCGAACTTCAGGCGTGTGCATGTGATTGTAACGTGCGCGAGGGGTGGCGTGTGCCCGATCTGTGATTGACAGTCAGATCTTACACCCCCTGCGCTGATTGGACCCGATGATCCGGGAGCTGTGGATTTTTACAAAACAAATAACACGTTAGAAGCTCGTTTTTTTTTTCTAAAACCACTTTATTTATGTTGTTCTGTCGGATTATAGTGTCGATTTCACTGAATATGATAAAAAAAATGTTGCCGATGGCAGCTTTAAATTTCGCTTGACTGTAACTCGACACCCTTGCTTCATTTAGTATACGTGGTTCTATGAATATGCAAATTATTCCCGCCTCCACTCACACGCTCAGCTCAGAGATCCACTCAGTGACGATCACACGTTGATCTGATTGGTAACAAGTTAGTTTGTGATGTGAGAAACACCAGCGATTTCAAACTGTGTTTACTTTCCCTATTCTAATTAGACCAATCTATGTTATGCAACTGACTTTAAAAAGTTAGCGGCAGTCTTGATGAAAAACTTTAGATGACTAACTTTTAAGACTAGTCTAAGCTGTGTATGCAACCGGACATTGTTTTTGCAAATCCACTGCAATAAAATGGGAATTTTTATGTGACAAACAAACAAGTGTAAGGGTTAGTTTACCTAGAATGAAAATCCTGTCATCATTTACTCACCCTCTTGTCATTCCAAACACATAAGACGTTTGTTCATCTTTGGAAACACAAATAAAGATATTGTTAATGAAGTCTGAGAGAATTATGTCCCTCCATTCAAAAAACCTTTTGGTGAACTAATCCTATAACGTATATCTAATCATGAAGACCGCAGACAGCCTCATATATGTATACTTTTATTATTGTGTGTGTGTGTGTGTGTGTGTGTGTGTGTGTGTGTGTGTGTTATCTTGACACACCAATTTATGTCATTTAATCTCATTATTTGACGACTTTCGAGTGGGATAATTTCTTCATTTGTGACATGAGAAAACATCAAATCATAATTACATTATGACGTTTAGCATGTATGTATTAAGGATGGACATTATGACTACAATTGTGCAATTTTGTCTCATGCTAACTGTTAACAAAAAATTATATTTTGTAAAATCTGGTGAATTAAAGTAATATTCAATTATGTGCCTTTCGTTTACACGGACACGGCGTTTTGGGGGCTTAAAAACGCAAAAAAGTGAAACCACCCTCCAGAGTGGAAATCTTAAAAACGCTCCACCGTCGCGTTCCCGTCTAAATGGTAAAAACGCAAATCTGCTCACGGTGGCTCTCGTCGCGTACGCGTTTACGTCACATGCATGCGCCAGTACAGGAAAATAACAACCAACATGTCAGATTATTTCTATACGTCGGACCTTCAAGTTGCCCTAGCAGCTCTGAAAAACATACAAGAGTCTTTTCAACAGTTGTACAAAATATTCTAAGATATTGGTGTTGTTGTGTGTCAGTACTTCACATTGCCACCTAGCCGCCTGGAGTGCACACTACATCGAATTTCACACACTTTTGCGTCACCATATGCACGCGGATTTCCCAACCATAACGCTCGTCTAAACGCAGAATAAAAATGCCACTTTTGCGTTTTCTCTTCCGATCGTTTCCGTGTAAACATAGCCTAAAAGTAGAGTTAAACTCTAAATTCTGTTTGAATGCAATTGCAGCCAATATATGCACATCAAACATCCTTATTAACATTTAATTTTCAAATACCTCATTCTGTGATGAATATCCACATAAAATCAGTACAAAACGTTGTTGTGAAGCAAGCTAAAGGCAGCAGTGATTCGTGTCTTGTATGTTTGGGTGCATGTTCACCTGTTATCAGGTGTGATTAAACAGCTCAGATATCGCATCCAGCAGAAAGAGTTTCCAAAAGAAAACTTCAGATCTTTGCGTGGCAGTGTGAGTTGATTAGAAAGATTTCCTCCTCGCAGCACATTTTCCCTTTCATTGCTCTCTGCAGAAGACGAGCTCCACTGCACATTGATTAACCTTCGCCCAATGAAGAGAAGATTCAGGACACTCGGTGGCTCTCGATGCATTTCCATCAAGCTTTGTCATCTCATTCTAGAGGCACACTGAATCATTTCCATGTGAACAAAGAAGTGCAGTTCCCTCATCAGCAAATAAATATTTATGAAGCCTTTAAGTTGAAGAGCACAGGGGAAAGTCTACCCGGTTACATAACACACATTTGCCCGCTATCAGCACTCTCGTGTTGTCGTTGTTGTACATTTGAATGCGGTTTTGCATTTTGATGAAAGCAAATGTGTGCCGGCATTATCTGATATTAGAGGTGACTTTGTTGAGAAGAATATAGATTGCTAGGTACAGATGAACAGGTGCTGGAAGCTCTTAAAAGAGTATTGCAGGTCCATCATTATTTACACGCATCTTCATGTTGCTGCAACCTGAGTGATGCTATTATTATCATAATTTTTTTATGGAACATAAAAGGAAGAACAATCATGCAGCTCTTTTCCATGCAACAACAGATGACTGATGAAATATATAAGGTGCATGAGTCACACAGACTATAATAAGTGCTTTTCTTTACTTTTAAATATCAGTATAGAAAAAAAAAAGAAGGATTTTTGGATGAACCATCCCTTTAATATGCAGTGCTGCTCTTTCAAGCAATCTATTTTAATGTGGTTTTGCAGTAATGCATATGATAGAACATATGGCATTTAAACGTGATACTCCATCTTTCTAAATATGCTCATATTTCTTAAGAAAATGCACTGGAAGGATTTTCACACTCTCATGTCGCATGGTGTTTGATGGCATATTCATCCATACGCTTTGAGTGAAATGTGCCTTCAAGGAATACGTAAATATCTGTAGCAATGAATCTGATTTCGACACGCCTTTGAGACATCCATCTGGCCTCTGCACTCCGTCATGGTTTTATATTGAAACGTATTTGATTGCATGCAGTGTTTGCTCCGAGGACAGAAAGCAGCGTGATCTGATCTCATCTGAACAGCTCTTGGAGTCGAGTGATTTAACTCACTGGTGGGTCACACACTGTCCGTGTCACTCAACAAAATGCATGTAATCAAGTAAACATAATTTAAGCGTGTTCTTTCTGTGAAAAAGGTTCAGGATGTCCTGATATTATGTATATAAATCAAATTTTGCAGTTGCAATGTCAGTATCATTCAAATTCACCTGCAAACACACAGTATATACTATATTGCAAATATGCGTAATTGTTTATATCGTCACAAAATGTATACTAAATGATCACACAGCTCTATATAAAGTTGGATATATTGCATACACGAGGACTATATAGCAAAACTGCTTGATTGTTTATATTAACACAAAGAGCTGTGCAATAATATAAATTTGAATATATCCAACTTTATTCGCATGCATATAGTACACTCATGTTAACGGCTTGATTGTTTACATCATCTAAAAATGTGAACTATAATATCTGCTAAATGCAACTATAAGGAATGCAGATATAATCATGATATTAATGTTTATATCTGTAGAGCTGCTTTGAAACAATATGTATTGCGGAATTGACTTGATTGTCACATTTGACTACTGTAAGTGGATTGATGGCAAAATTCAGTGTTACAAACCAAAATAGTAAGGACATTTGTTGCTTGTATACCCTCAGATGGCCAAACCAAACACATTCCTCCTTAAATATCAGGCCTTAAACAGCTTGTTGTTAAAGTCCAGCTGTCACACACTCCCTCAAAATACTAACTGTGGTTATATTTGGCCTAGAATTGATCCTCGGATTAAATAAGACACAGGTAACAATATGCTTGAAATTATTAAGTAAAGTTAACATTTAAAATGATAAATGACTTGTTTGGTAGTAGGTACACATACTAAATGAGAAAAAAAAAACTAGCCTTATAAGCTAGCGTTATATTGCAGTACAGTTCCGCCAGTGATAATATCTAAATATGTGAACATATTCTGACACACATCCAATGTTTCAGAAGAACAGGTTAGGCATTGAGAATGCTTGGTTGTTAATGCAAACATTGCTCATGAATGAGTTGTTCAGTCTGTGTAAACCCAGGGCTTTGAAAGGAGTCTCTCTGTCACTACCAGTGGCAGCTGGGAACAATAGCTCATTGTTGACGCCCAGGTCTATTTTGGATTTCTTCCTTTTATAGTGTGTTATAGGACCTGCTTGTCAGGCTGATTTCTCCTCCCTGGGGTCAAATGATATAAAAGCTTTAACCGACAATCTGCCCTGAGCTGCTCCCTGCCATCCATTCTGCTGTTTCTGACTCTCCCCACTCATCCAGGAGACTCCTCACATCAGCAACATGGCTCCCAAGCTAGTCGAGCCCAAGAAGCCAGAACCCAAGAAGGCTGAACCCAAGAAAGAAGCCGCTCCGGCTCCAACGACCCCCAAACCGGCTCCTCCGCCAGAGCCCGAAGTTCCCATTGAACCCCCATTCGATCCCAAGTCCATCACGCTGGAGTACAGCGCGGACCAGATCGAAGAGTTCAAAGAGGCATTTCAGCTGTTCGACCGCACGCCGAAAGGAGAAATGAAGATTACGTACGCCCAGTGCGGGGACGTGCTTCGAGCTTTGGGCCAGAACCCGACCAACGCAGATGTGCTGAAGGTCCTGGGAAAACCCAGACCGGAGGAGATGAACGCCAAGCTGGTGGACTTTGAGACCTTCTTGCCGATGCTGCAGCATATCTCCCGCTCGAAGGAGCAGGGCAACTTTGAGGATTTTGTGGAAGGACTGAGAGTTTTTGACAAGGAGGGCAATGGGACCATCATGGGGGCCGAGCTCCGGCACGTTCTGGCCACGCTGGGAGAGCGGATGACCGAGGACGAGGTGGATCGACTGATGGCCGGACAAGAGGACGCCAACGGCTGCATCAATTATTCTTCATTTGTCAAACACATCCTGTCAGGTTGAACTGGATTGGACTGAATGGGTGGTGTGGGTAAATAATCAGTGTGGGTAAAATAAGAAAATTATTTATAATTTCGTTTCCCTGAAATGTATTAATCACATTGTTTGAATAATAGCATTTAAAATGTCAAACATCGCGTTTTCACAAACACTCTCTTCGCCTACAATACTTTTTTTTTCTATACTCATGTGAATATGATGCATATGTGTTCAGTCACAAAACAATAAAAACAAACAGATTGGCATTGACTTCAGTTTATTTATTTTTATAAAGAGGCACAATATTGTCTACATTGTGCAATGGGGTTGGATGCTGTCAAGCTCAAAAAAGGTGATTTATACTGTATTCCACGTCTTCTGAAGCAATGGTTGTGTGTGAGGAATTGATGGAAATTGAAAAGTTGCTGTAACTCTTCATTCTTGTTTACACAAATTAACACATGGCCGATCAAGATGTGCCACACTAGCTTTAATATCAAAGGCACACAAGAAAACTATTTATATTTTTTCCCCCTGAAATGTGTCATTCACATTGTTTGAATGATAGCATTTAAAATGTCAAACATCACATTGACGTTCTGCGTTTTTACAAACACTCCCTTCGCCTACAAGACTTTTTTTTCTATACATTCTGACTCATGTGAAAATATTTTGTAGATTTTGTCCAATGGCATATGTGTTCAGACACAAAACAATAAAACAAATCGATTGGTATGGACTTGCCATTATTTTTTATAAAGAAGGCACAAGATTGTCTACATTGTGCAATGGGGTTGGATGCTGTCAAGCTCCAAAAAAATTGATTTATACTGTTTTCCAAGTCTTCTGAAGCAATGGCTTTATGTGAGGAATAGGACAATTTTTGCTCATTGTAAATTACCTTCTGCTTTAACTCTTACCTTGTTCACACACATTAACACGTGGCACACTGGCTTTGATATCAATGACACACAAGAACCAATATTATTTGATCTAATAGACATGGCTAAATATAGTGTTTGAAAGGAAAGTGACCTAGTTAATTATGGGTGAACTATTGCTTAAAGCTCCAATTTTAATGCAATTCAGTGGTTGCATGTTAATGAGGTAACACCACATTTGTTTCCACTGCCCCAAACCACTACACGTCTGATCTTGATGTATCGAAAGTCTACAATTGGAGAAAGAAAATGTTCTCTGAGAATGTTCAATTAACAATCACTTGCAAGTATTTTGTATTAAAATGAGTCTGTGCTATTAGTACAATGGCACATTCTTAATGAAGTTTTGATTCACTTCCATAATGAATCACATTTAGCTCTTGATATGAAAGCAGTCTTGCCAGAGATAACTCATGCAGCAATCCTGAGCTTTTGAATCTGTGACCTTTTCTCACACAGCCTGCAGAGTCTGGGCTGCTTTTGAAGACATCTTGGGATTTCACTTTGATGAGGTATGGAGCTTCTCTCTCTATACGAAGGCCAGGCACAAGGACTGTGTCCATGCATCAATGGGAATGTAGGCTATGTAATCTCGGCTCAGGAGAGCCAGGTCTTCCAGCCGTGTACTTAGGAAATGCAGCTATCTATGGGATGTAGGGAGAGAGAGCACTTGAAAGGGTGGCCAAAAGCTCAGGAGAAGGACAGGGGGTGATCTTTAAACACTATCCTCCTGTCATCAGGTTGACAGCTGCCCTAGGTCTCCCGTCTGTGATTCCCGGAGTGTCCCACTTGGCTCGGCCTCCATGGCAGACCATAAACATGAGTTTCACACCTCCGAACACAAACACTGGTGGTGTGAGAGACGTCAGCGCTTCTCCACGGCTCCTCGATGGGACACGCCACTCCTGTGATGTAGATCCAGGCCTGAAAGGGAGTCTGTCCAGGTTCTTCTGATTGGGTTTGTGAAAGATAGCTGGATGTGAAGGTTTAAGACCGAGATTTAATGAGTTATGCCTGCGATTTTGGCAATCCTATAAGATCATTACAAATCACACTTGGATCTAAAAAACTTGGGTATAACATGTATGGAGACTGTGTAATGATGACACCTATTGAATTGTAGGTGACGCAAGTTAGTATAGAAGAATAAACATCATCAGCATGCGCTATAGTGGTGAACAAATAGAGCCAGATGAATCGCACTTTGGCAATTGTGGTTTTTAAAAAAAGAAGGAAGCGAAAGAGGGGAATATGGACGCGGTCATGGCTAGGGAAAAGAGGCCAGCTTGGCATGACAATTTTGTAAATGGAGCTTGAGGTACAGTAAGTAGTTTTAAGTTTTAGCGCAATGCCGCGCTGATTAATACGCCATCTCATGTTGCATTTTTATTGGCTAGTCAGTAGATGCAGGTCGTAGAAACAAACACACTGTGAGATGATCATGACACTGTCAGAAAATGTTTGGGTTACACTTTATTTTAAGGTGACATTATACATTTATGCACTGAGTAATATTAATTAACTACATGTACTTACTATAGGGTTAGGGTAGGATTAGGATTTGGTTGAGGGTTAGTTGCATGCAATTATGCATAATTTACTGTTATTACTATGGTAAGTACATGTAACACATGTAACAAGGACACTGTAAAATGAAGTGTTACCAAATATTGCAGGCTTTCTTTGGTCGCAAGTCCGGCCGTCTTTGGCAGACCTTTCTCACTGTACAACATATAGGAGCCACGACCACAGAAATCTTTCATCTGGGACAGCACAAAATCATACAATGTGTACCGGGCATTAGAGTACTAGAGGAGTAGCTCAACCCCCCAAAAAAAAAAATTCCCACGAATACGAAACCAGTAATTTCAAGGAATCAAAGGATCATTCAGTTGACACAAATAAGGAGCATAAAAGTAGTTCTGTACCTGTAGGCCTTTTGAAATTATACACTCTCAAAGATAAAAGGTAAAAAATCTGTCACTGGAGTGCTACCCTTTCAAAAGCTACACCTTTGTACCTTATTTACCCCTGACAGGAGCATATTAGTTCCTCAAGTGTACGTACTAGTACGTTTTGAAAGGGTACCACCCCAGTGAGAGCTTTTGTTAAAATTTTTACTGAGAGTGTTTTTTTGTAAGGAATATACGGAAATTAATTTTTTTATTCAACTAATAATTTTGCTTTTTCATTTAAATGACACGGAACAATATTTGTACAGATCACATTCAAACGCATCTCGCAAAGTTTAGATTTGGAAGTTCAAATGAGATCTGAAAACTAAGATGAAAGATTATCAGTGAACGGATTAAATATTAAAAGCATAATCAGTCTTATTAGTGAGAGTCCAAAACAGCTCTAGTTTGTGTTTGAAATTGTAGAATATCAGTGTTTTGAGCAAATCTGTTCACGGATGTAATATGAATTCATTAAAAAGGTGGGTTTTTTCTTGGTGTTTGGCATAATAAACACACAGTTCCCTTTCGAGGGAACTTAACACTGCGTCGAGAATCGACTCTTTGGGGACGCTCCCTTAGCGTGCGCCTCTGAAGTATGAATGAAACTATTCCAATCCTGATTGGTGATGCGTCATGACGTAACATGTGACGGCATAACCGGATGCATAAAAGCTACGCCGGAACAAACACAAACTAGCTTTCGCTCTTCAGCAAGCGCTCTGTGTTGAAACTGTGTGTCTTATTTGGTGTTGTTTGTCACATATATTGTATATTATGGCCAGCGAACAATTCAAAGCTTGTGTGCCTCCCTGCCCTCGTTTTATCACGGGTGGGGACACACATGCTTTGTGTGTGAGTTGTTTGGGAGCGCAGCATGCACGGGCAGCTCTCGAGGGAGCTGCTTGTGTAGACTGTGAAGCACTTCCCATTAGAGTGCTGCGCTCCCGGCTGGCGTGCTTTGATGAGCACGGTCAGGCTCGCGTTCCCCATGGTTCTGGTCCCGCGTCCGTTGAGGCGGCGCGGCGATTGAGATCGTGGGGTTCGCAGCGGGATCTTGTGGATGAGATTGAGACTGCTGAGGCACCTTCTCATTCTTCATCCGAGGATCTCGTAGCCTCTGAGAGTGGTGCAGGAGCCCGCATCGCGGCTTCTCCTGCCCATGATCAGGTCCCGATGCTTGAGCTCTCTGCTTCCGAGGAAGTAGATGTGCTCAGCATCGATGCGGATGACCGTGATCTAGGCGCGCCAGTTCACGGCCAAGGTTATGAGGAGCTGGTGGAGGTTGTGACTCGTGCTGTGGCCAGACTTAACATCAGCTGGCCACATGATGAGCAGGGAACGCAAGTGAGAAGCAAGCTTGATGAGCGTTTCCTGCAGCACAGATCGCAACCTCAGCGCCGGGGTTTGCCGTTTTTCCCCGATCTCCACAAAGAGATTTCGAGATCGTGGGATAAACCGCACTCATCCCGTGTCTCCAATCCCAGTATGGTGGATTACAGCAATGTTATGGGGGCACGGGATATGGGTTATGGGAAGATGCCTAAGGTGGAAGAGGCTTTAGCGGGTTATCTTTCTCCTGAGTCGGCATCTTCCCTAAAAACCCCGGCGTTGCCTAGTAAGCCCTGCAGAGATACATCTGCATTAATAGGCAGGGCTTACATGGCGGCAGGTCGGGCTGGTTCATGTCTGCACTCTATGGCACTCTTGCAGGCATACCAGGCCGACCTCCTGAAAGATTTGGATGAGGGGGAGGGGCCAACTCCTGAAGATATTGCGGAGTTAAGGAGAGCCACAGATCTGTCTCTTCGGGCCACAAAAGAGACGGCCCGCGCTATTGGCCGCTCTATGGCAGCTATGGTGGCCACGGAGAGACATCTGTGGCTGAATTTATCTGGCATGAAAGAGAAGGATAGATCCTTTCTGCTGGATGCGCCGCTTTCGCCTTCTGGCCTGTTCGGCGACGCCGTTACATCGGTCGTCGACAGGTTTCAGGAGGCGAAGAAACAATCTGCGGCGTTCCAGCAGTACCTCCCCCGTAAGGCGAAATCCAAATCGAGTAGGGTGGGGCCAAAAGATCAGCCCCAGCCATCAGCCGGCTCCTCACACCGAGCAGAGCAGAGAGAGAGCGTTTCCTCTAGAGCCCCTC